CAATTCAAAGCGGCAGGAACTTCCTCATTTTTTCGCTCGAAATTAAATCGGAATAACGTAACGACGATAATCATGAAGTTAGAAATTGAATTTACAAACGCTCGTAACGAAAGGACGTTTCGGCGTAAGGAGATTTCAGATAAACCGCGAGTTTGAAAAAAGCGTCGCACTTCTCGCGCCTACTCCTGCTATTTAGTCAACGAACGCGTGCGTCGCGTTAAGAGGAAGCTGCCCGGTGGCAGGCTAATACTCTTACAAACCTCTTATTCGGCGCGATCCGCGCCCGGATTTTCCACGTTCTCGCGAAAAGGGCAACGACGGACAAACTAATCCAGACAGATTGTGCACCGAGCGCGTTCGTATTTGCGCGGAACTCCTGAAACCAGTGTTTAGCGCACGCACACGAGAAAGCAGAGAAGAAAAGAAGGAGTGAAAGAGAAGAGAAGAGAGAGAGAGAGAGAGAGACAGAATATTTATATTCGAATGTAGGAAAGTTGCGGCGTTTGCTGTCGCTGCAATTTTATCGAGCAGTAACAAAGTTAGTGCACTTCAATATGTGGGAGAGTTTCATTAGCATTCCGCTCCTCCCTCATGAAATATGGAACGCGTCGCGAGAAACGATTGATTCATTAGGCCGGCGAATTAATCAACGAGTCGTCTGACGGAGAGGGATTATCGTGTATTTCAGCAAGAACGCGATCGCAACGGAGGCACTCCCGGTGGTAGACGCGCGTCTTTAAAGGTATATCTTTCACCGCGAGACATCGTCTCAGGTTCGTCGTGCAATTGATACCGATACCTGATACTGACACCGATTTAATCCTAATAGCGCAACAGTTTTCTCAAACTCTTCGCTTCACGAGGCAAAGCGAACGCGAGACGGGAATCGTTTTGCGGTAAAGGGGCTGACAGTAATCGTGACAAATTCTGCACGAATCTTCCTAAGATTGGACGTAATTTAACCAGGATCGTTAGAATTTTCTCTCTCTCTCTCTCTCTCTCCCTCTCTATCGACTACACAGCAAGAAATGTTATGTTAAAAACGGTTCACTGAAATTTTGTATTACTTTAACATGAGGAATGTATTAAAAAAATGCACGAATATGTGTTAAAATATATATTGACAAGATGAATATTTTAATTTATCATTATATTTGTGTACTTTTTAACATATTCCCCATGTTAAAATAACACAAAATTTCAGTGGATTGTTTTTAATAAAAAAATGTTTTATTATGTAGAATTTCACAGGAAATAGAAGGCAAAATTCCAAACTATATTTCAGTAACAAGATCTAAACCAGAGTTTACCTTCATCATAGATTTAAAAAATGTTTGAAAGTGGGAAAATTTGCTGTTCCTATATAGGAACAGAGGAACGAAATAGGTTAAGTAGTCACCGTATAATCAGGAGAATAATAACAATATTGATCATTGTAGTTCTTCTCTTTCCCAGTTAGAATGCTGTAAAAAATAGAAGGTCATCGCAAGATTAATTGAGTCGGTGGGAGACGTGTAAGACGCGTGCGGTCCGCGATAAGCCGATGTGTACTGCTTATCGGGCGAGGGAAACGTTAACGAGTAGTAACAAGTAGCATTTTCGAGTTTCGATAGGGGATGTCTATAGCGAGGCGATGTGCCCAGCCACCTGGTGTAATTAGCAGCCTGATACGCGCACTTAACAGATTGAACGGACGAAACGAGCCGCTCGTCCACCCTTAATGGATCCATGCGGCGGTAGACGTCCGGTTTCTGTAACAACGCGGCGTCCTGTAATTTCCGTAGAACGTGCAATTAGCCGTTCCGAGAGCGCGATTTTCCGATTACGCTACTTGCCGTTCAAATCGGAAAATAACGGTGACGATATCGTCGATGGTAAAAGATCCCGCTTGATATGCGATACTCGCCGCCGCAGAGTCGACGACATGTGCGAAATTTGATTGAAACTCGCGACGTTTATCGACTTTATCGATTTGATATTCCCCCGCTCGTGTGACTGTCGCGCGACCTAGAGTTCTAAATATAAATAGAGGAGTGACATTGAATTCGACATATTGAAAGTCGGCCATCTTTTTTCTATGGTGATAATTAGAACGTGGGGGGATGTTGGAAAAAGGAGAAGAAAAAGGAAGAGGAAGAAACGCTGATGGTTAGAGCAAACTAATCGGCGTGGGACAAGCGAGCATTTAGCGTCCGCATTAGCGAGCACGAATATTCGTGACTGTGCGCGAACTAAACGTTACCAGATCACGGAAATGCATTTCAAGAACAGTGTACTTTAAAGCGCAGTTCTGTCCGTGCGCGCGCGTGCGCGCCGGAACGGAACAATACCCCGCCAGGCCATGGACGCAGTTTCTAACAAGTTACCGAGACGGCCTGAATAACTTTTCCAATTTAGCCACACGCGGCTACATCGTTATGAACGACAAAGTGTTACTTATAGTTACGGGCAACTTTAAACCGGCGCTACTTGGCCGACGGTTCGTCGTACGACCGAACGAATCGCTGCGCCCGAAACGCGCGCGCTAAAGGGAGGAAGAGAAGTCTTGATCTCTAAAATAATAATCTCGCAACGCAAGATTCGCGTCTAGATCCTGTCTCGTTTTTACGATCCCTCTGGAAGTCAACGTTTGCAACGAAACAGCGAGCGGTAACGAAACGATACGAAGTTATTAACACTTTATTCGCCGTCAGCGCGACCCTCGCACTCAGGTAAGTCGTAACTCCCTCGTCTTCGCTTCTCGGCGAAATCTGACGGGCGAAGTCGATCAAAGTTACGGCAGTTATCCCGGTAACGGTCTGAAATTCCAGGCTGACAGGTATGGACGGCCTGAAATGGCGCTTCAAGGAGCTTGAAACGAGGATAATGGTGCAGAAATCGCGAGTAACGATCGACAACAATCTTACTTGTCGATTTGCACGCATAAAATAAACGTAACAAAAATTATCCTCACATGATGGATACCTACGGTCTCTTTCTCATTCCCAGAACGAGCACGATACATCCTCCATTGTGGGATTATTCCGTGGGAGGCAACAATTCATCGCATCGAGATATTCCGTGATATTTCGGAAATATCAGCTACTAACGCAAGCCATATATGAAGATCGATTCTCGCCATCAAAATCCTCCCTCATTGAGACGATCCTTATTAGTAATGCCTCTTGATAGGCCAACGATTATCCGTTCATTAACTGAAATTGTTAACGAGCTGTTATCCGAGAGAGGTTCGGGCGCAGGAGTGCACTAAAGCTTGATTACTGATTCACGATGTTGTCATCACGTAGCACTATCGTGGCACTAGCGATATTGCAGTGAATACACGCGAGAAATGAAACGTCGAAGCGCCTTCGACAGGTCGAGATTTCGACGTCGAGATATTTACGAGATAAGATTCTAATTAATTATTATAATTATATATTATATATCTTAGAAATATCGTAGGGATTATTTTATCTATATATTTTGTAAACAGTTATGTATGAATTTATTTCGTTTGTTAAAGCAAAATAAAACGAGTAAACACAATTAATTCCATAATAAAAAGTGTAACTAAATACTTATTGAATGTTAACGAAACTTTAACCGGATATCTTTATGTTATATCTTTATTTATATTTTTATATTGTTGTTTCGAAAGCATCATTTCATCTCTGTTTTCTGAAAATAATTAAGACATGTTATAAGTCAAGTAAGAATCTTATAAGTCAAGACATCTGCCGTAACTTTCAGGTTCAATTGTTTAGACATCGTTCTCAACCTGCCCGATAATACGTCGCACAACAAGAGCTATAAACAAGGACTATAAACTGCAGTTGCTATTAATATACGCAAACATTCGTTGCCAAGGGCGATCACGAAAACTAATTAATTTCATACCGCGCGTATGCGCGTTGCACCTGATTGAATTTTCTTTGAGGCGGTATAAGCCACCATGAAGGGCCATTAAATAATTATGGGATATCCCTGGAATACTGCGTGCACACACAAATACACACACCTATACGACCGATTATCGTACTCTCGTTCGCGATCGTTCTCAATTGAAAGCTCGACGGATTAAATAAGACCGGACGAGCGAGTTGCGCGGTAAGATTCGCAATTATGAGAACTAAGCGCCTTTAATATCACGCAAAAGCCGATATCGTTACGCTGTATTATTGAAAGCGACGGCGACTATGTCGAATTAAAGAATAAAAAGGCGCTCGAAAAAGCTCCGGCAATATAAATTCAGTCTTGAAACGTTCGTTACACGAGGTCCCAACGTCGAAACGTTCCACGTTACGGGACGATCGCCTCTGCTCTCCTTCTCTCTCTTTCTCTCGGAAACTGCCGCACGTGTTTGGTTATTTTTAAATAACGGTTTGACCTTGTTAACAGTTCCGTCGAAGAGGGTTTCTCAATTGATTAAACATTGATTATAAGTAGCTCGTAAGTTTATTTCTTATCGTGTATTTTAAATAATGATCGTAGCTAATGCTCCTTGACAAAATAAATATCATCGTATGTGCATAGAAGAAAAAAATAATCTTAAATCAATTATAGATACATATAAGCAAGAATATTCTTAGAAGATTGTTAGTTCTTGTATCTTGAATTGAGTGCAAGTAACACTTGTATCAATTCAAATTCAATTAAGTAAGGACTAAACATTTTTTAAGAAAACTATAATATTCTCATATAAGCGAAAATTATAATATTCGCTTATATGTATGAGAATATCTGTTATTAATTCAAGACTAATGTTTCTTTCCATATAATATTAACGATTAGGAGAAATCTTCAGTTTTATCGAGCGATCGTATTTAGTCGAATATAATTCCAAGAGCGTGTCCGCTTTTATCTTTCGTCGTCTTCGTTAACACACTAGCAAACTGATTTTCCACACTTGAGAGTCTTTCCGCACGGATAGAAACCGGAATTGCGACTTTGCACGAGATTTCCGTATCCCGTCCGAATTTATATGCTTCTCCAAAAATGCACTCTGACTTCAAGTGGATTTAGACCAAACTATTCTTATTAAGATTGAGATTCGCATTGAGATTAGTATGACTGCGTCGGGAAACATAAGGCGGAGGGTGACCAGGCCGCGGTTTATACTTTCCGGATTCATTGCACTCTTCGTTGCAGCCAGGAGCCATGCGTCCTTCAAAGTCAGGAACCATGCGTTCTTCAAAGTCAGGAGCCATGCGTCCTTCAAAGTCAGGAAGTATGAATTCTTCAGGGTTAGGAGCCATGCGTTCTTCAAAGTCAGGAGCCAAGCGTTCTTCAAGGTCAGATCCCCACATTATCACGCTGCAGATAATATTAAATGAATTCTCCATAGTACTATTAGAGCGTTTTCATTAAAATGCTATACTTAAAACTGGTTGTTCAGTTGTAAGTATAGCAGACCAATCAATAAGATTTCACTGAACGAACCAATACGTACTACTACTGTTTTCTCATAATTGATGAGGAATTTGCAAACGCAGATGTAATAAACAATTGGTATCTAGATTTCGCATCGAAAATCAATCAACACTAATTGATAATCGATGAAACATTTCTTTTACTGATTCAAATCAGAAACATTTTCGCTGATATACTTTAAAGGTTCTCTTTTAAAGTCACAGTTTTCTAACTGTGTTGAGAAAAGTGAATAGAATCATGCTTGACCTCATTGTTATAACTGCAATAGTAAGACGGAGTATCGTACTTATCCCTAGTTATCGTTTTGTCTACAAATAATAAGGCGGATCCTACTTGTTTGTGTTGGTTTCCAGTATGCGAGATAAAAGAGGCGGCTGTTCAAACGAGTTTCCATTATCCGGCTGCTTGTACATCCCATTGGAGACGTATCTGCGAGAGGGGTTGAAAGGATGCAGGGGGTACGTGTTTCTGTCATAAACTTGTCTGCGGGAGTGGATGGGTGGCGGGTCGTATTTGCTTCTGTCATCAACTTGCCTGCGGGAGTGGATGGGTGGCGGGTCGTATTTGCTTCTGTCATCAACCTGCCTGCGAGAGGGGTTGATAGGAGGCGGGTCGTATTTGCTTCTGTCATCAACCTGCCTGCGAGAGGGGTTGATAGGAGGCGGGTCGTATTTGCTTCTGTCATCAACCTGCCTGCGAGAGGGGTTGATAGGAGGCGGGTCGTATTTGCTTCTGTCATCAACCTGCCTGCGAGAGGGGTTGATAGGAGGCGGGTCGTATTTGCTTCTGTCATCAACCTGCCTGCGAGAGGGGTTGATAGGAGGCGGGTCGTATTTGCTTCTGTCATCAACCTGCCTGCGAGAGGGGTTGATAGGAGGCGGGTCGTATTTGCTTCTGTCATCAACCTGCCTGCGAGAGGGGTTGATGGGAGGCGGGTCGTATTTGCTTCTGTCATCAACCTGCCTGCGGGCGTAGTTGGGTAACAGGTCGTAGAAACGTTCGTTCATTTCGAAACCTGCCGGTGCGTCTCTACGAATGCCTCCCGAAAACAGCACCGCGTTCTGGTCTTTGCTGCCATAGAGATGCTCTACTTGCCCGTGAGAGTGAATTCGCGTATCTTGAAGATTTCCAGGCAGGTAACCACCGCCCCTATGGCTTCTTTCTCTCCGGAAGTCATATTCTCTTAGGTAGTCCTCCGCTACAACGCACTGCGCAATATTTTCAATATAATTTGTCACCGATCGTTAAATTACCACGTGCAATGCACGAGGCATACGTTACGGTGAAAATATCACGAGAGGAAGATCGCTGGTCTCCTGTGAGTTAGCCGCGTTTTCAACGTTAACTCGAAACAACGATTGTACTATCTCTATTTTTCGACTCGATCTCCGTGCTTACGCTTAGAAAAACTCTCGCAACGCTATACGTATTTTTAAGGGCCGTCTATAATAACCGTAAAGTATGCAGTAAGACGTAGAGCAGTAAGCTAATCGACCAATTGGATACCAATTGGTACCAATTCATACAATCCAAAAATAAATCGACTGTGGTTGGTCAATTAGCTTACCGCTTACATTTTATCGCATAATTTACGGCTATTGTAGACGGCCCTTCACAGATCTACAAGCTGCTTGACGGTCTCTTACCGATATAATCGTAGGAACGAGAACGAGCGCAAGTATCCCGCTACGACACATCGCGGAATATCGTGCGAATTCTGATTGCGGTCGAAATACAGAACCGACTGAGGCCATCGTCGCGAGCGCGCCATATTTTTATGAGATCGCTTCGTATGAGTGATAACCCGAGGAAAACTCAATTATTGCTATCACCCGTATAAAAGACCGCCGAAATCACCATCACCCCGTATATCAACTGCAACGCCGCGGTGCTTCGCAGTTAGGCACGACGATGACAAACGACGTCGTTGACCATCCGTGCAACCGATCCAATTTAATCGAGTCGAGCGTGCCTTTTACGAGCGAATTGTAATATCGAGGGGACGCGCGATATTAATTAGCACCTCGTGAGGAACGATGGAGCCGTAACACAAATCGGGCCACTTACGCTCTTTCTCGGTTAATCAAATCAGCCGGTCGTGCGCTTGACAGATCGGCTATGTTTGTGTGTGAGTGTGTGCGTGTGTGTGTATTTGTGTGCGTGCGCGCGCATTATTGGCTTCGCTTGTTCGATGACTATATTGAAAATCTCATTATTCAACGCCGGTCACCGCGCGAGGCCGGTGCGAATTTAATGAATGGAATTTCCAACGTGCGAACGTAAAGTCGCGTCTGTGTGGATCGGCGAGAATAGAAACGCGACAATTCGGATGATGCGTGTCCTCTTTCCATATACGTCTATAATATCGAAGATTAAAATGCGTTGGTCGCCCAACTCCAATTCGAAGCGACATTTTTTCCACTCATGTGAACAACAGTAATATTTTACCTCTTTCGAGAGGACGGGGATCGAAATAATAGTCTTCTTTTTTTAATCAAGTAAAATAATACTCGATAAATTAAGTTTTTCTTATTTGCGGCATATATACCGGAGTTGCCCTATATATTTTGTTGAATCAATACTGAACATGTGTGAGTGTTAAAATAACACGTTTTACACTTCAGTGTCTATTATAGATATTAATTTTGTGTTAATTTTTTATGTAATATTTGCGTTACTTTTCCACGTGTTCATCTTATGTTAACACGAAAATTTGTGCGGACCGTTTGGAACACGTGAAATGTGTTATATTTAACACAAAACTTTTTACTGTGCCGATTAACTATATCACCGACGGTACGGTGACTTTTCAATTATTTATTCCAACTGTGTCGTCTACGTGCCGGTAGAATTTTCACCGAGGGACGAAATGAGCTTAAACCGGGCCGTGAAACGGAGGCGGGAGGAAGTGCACGAATTTAGGACACTCCTTGATCGCACCTGCAATGAAGCAGTCGAGTCGAGTCACGACCGTCTCGACGTTCGGAAAGCGTTCCGGACAGCAGCTGGCGAATACATCGAAAAGCTCCGCGCGCCGAGTTCTATTTCGCGATAGGAAAAGCGGGATTAAAAGCTATCGCGGATACATTCGAGGATAAGCCGGATTTGGGACGGGTCGTGAGGTTCACGGCTAATTCTGCGACGTCGGCCGAGCCGTTCGCACCATTAGAGTCTCGACATTAGCCTAAAATTTATTTCGCATTTTTATTGCCCACGAACGGCGCGCGCATAAACGCCGCGGATTATTACTCGCCGCGCTCTTAAATCGCGCGTCGAGCGAGATAGAAGGAATAGAAAATTTTAACCCGCGCGATAAATTACATCCAAGTCGCTCGCTGCTTGCAAGTCGATTCGATTTCTTACGCGGACTCTCTCGTTCCAATTCGCGTTCGTGCTCCTCCGATTCGAACGACAATGCAAACTCGTCACCGAATGTCGCGCAAAATAGTCAGCAAAATTGCGCAAAAACCGTTTCGCGAAGTCCAGCGTTTGAATGAGACCGCGACTCGTTCACCGTTGTCTAATAAACGACGCCCGTACTGGAAATCAAATTCGTTAACGCCCGTCGCAAATAATCGCTATTACACTGTTTACCATTCCGGTGAGCGTTCAACCGCGTCACGCACTGTAAACCGTCAATAATTAAATCCCCGAACCGATGCAGCTCGATTAAGCCGTTGACAACGGCCGATTTTGCCGGGGATCCTCTTTTTTTCTACCCCCCATTTACCGCGTTCGCGATCCTCTTCCGCGCTATTTCAGGAAAATCTTCTGGCGGCAAGAGCGAAATATTCCCGTGCGCGAATTCGCGCTGACTAGTCTTTCACGTCGAGACTTTTACTCGAAAATTGACGAATTTAAACGCGAAATTGTACGCAAGTTTTAATTATGCACTAAGCGAAGTCGCGATACGGACGCAAAAGTGATTCCGCGTCATGAAACACCGAAATAATCGCGATTTTCACTGGTCGACAGTTCGCGCGATACGCGTTCGGCTTCCGGTTTCGCGCGAGCGTATCGCTCGTTGCGGTTACATTCGAAATGCGAAAAGTTTCCGCCCTACGAACAGCTGTCCGTGATATCGCGATGAGTTCTCTGTATTTGTTATACCACCTCGTTACTCGTGTTACGATATATAACAACGAGGTGAGCTCGAACTCTAAAACTGCATTTTATTGCATGACTTTGTTCACCGTGATAAAAATGTTCGAACTGACGTTTATAATGATTCTTCCGATATCTTAACGTATTTCCTGAGAAAAATGTTTTATGATACATAATTTTGATACATAATTTTTAATCCGTTGGAGGGACTGCGTGACGTGAGTCAGGCTCATTATGACTTTTCTACGAATAAATATAATTATTCAAAATATTTCTCAGTTTAGATATATTGTGACTTATTGAAATTTATATTAAACTACAAAATTCCGTGTATCTTACAAAGTATTATATCGTTTGCAAAGCTATGCGTATTAATTACGGTAACATAAACACAGTTTTAATGAGTTAAATAATTCTTCCGACAAGGACAGTAAGTATGAATTATTTCGGAATATCCGCGAACAAAGTTAACAAGGATATTTATTAAGAATGTATTGTCCATAAGCCAAAATAATGAAAAAAATTACAAATAAATCTTTCTCTCTCTCTTTTTCTTTCTCTACATTGCTCCTAAAATGATACCGAAAGTTTGACAGAGTCTGGATCAAAAGTTATGCCACTTTAAAAGAAGTTATAAGACGATATGAGTTTGATAAAAGAATTCGATGAAACTTGCATTGTGTATTTTGTTGAAAATTTTCAGGTAAATTCCCACGGAAATCGATAGGAACTCATGCGAGTCCATATAGGATAATAAAAATCCATACAAAAATCCACGTAGTGTGTAGAAATCTATATAGGAATCCACATGGTTAGTGAAAAAAAACAAAAAAAAAATATATATATATCCACCTCAACTTCGTTTCAAATTAACATTTACTATTTAGGTAGTGAAATAAATATATAGGAACGTAATTTTACTCGATAAATACTAAATTTCTGAGTGGTCCTGGTGCGCCACTGAAAATACGGCACTAATGGGCAATACATTCTTAATTGGCAACGCGAATAATTCACAATGATGAATTCACACTACATCGAATTAGGCTCCGTCGTAAAATACCTCGCACGCGCGAGTGTAAATTTACGGAAAAAGGAGAAAAACACGAGTTTGCTTGCGACTCGAACCAATACCGAGGTCGTGTGTTCGCTTTGCGCTTTGACTGGACTTTTGATTGATCGTGCCACCGCGCGCGCGGATACTACATATCGCGTCTCTTATATGTACGTCGTGCCATGCGGCTCGTTGACACGCAGAATGCGTCGTGCCGCATGAGGGATAACCGGGCGCCTCGATATCGCTGATTGGAAAACCAGCGTCCGAGAGTTCGAGCGAGTTTTAGTTTCCATTATCCCGCAGCGTACAGGTCAGCGGATCCATAAAGTAATTTACCCTGAGAGAATTGGAGAGAGCGAGAGCCTTGTCGCAGCGCGTCAATAAATTTCAATGGCCGACTATCGACTATGCGCGCTGTCTGATATTAAAGCGCAATGATCCCGCCGGGGAATTCGTGCGTGCATTTTTACGTGAAAGGCACCTCGCGACATTGTCCGCGGAATTGACATTCTCACGTAAGCGACGATACGCGCTAAGCGCTCACCATGGACAACAATGCGAGCTTCGATAATGGCTGTGTAATTAGTGCGTTGTAAATATTATTGTCTGCAGTCGTTAAGTAAAATTGCTCTATGCTTATGTTGTTTCGCGACTACACGAGACTATCGCAGTGTGTGTCGCAAGGATTTACCGTAAACCTCTCGGAAAGTTGGCGGTGGTTCCACGTCCGTAAATTCACGTTATAAAAAGGTCCGAAGAGTCCAATCGAATTCGAGCAGCGCATGAGCCGCGGGATTGTAAATCCGGCTCAATTTTCACCTGGACGTTTTGTCTTTATCCGATTATTTAGGACGTACATGTAGCTCCGGGAGAGGGGATCATCAACTTTTCAATAATTCCCTTCGATTTCGGCTTTTGAGGTCAACGCGAATTCGCAACGGGATCGCGCGATTACTTTGATTTTTTTCCGCTCTCCTTTCCTCTCTCTTTTTCTCCTTTAAAAATGCTACAGAACGGACATGTAATAACGACGGTATAAAGATCGAGTCGAGGTCATTAGTCATTTGTAAATGTCACGTTGAGATACGCGAGAGTTATGAGATGAGGCCAAAAAGTTATCGGTGCAGAATATTTCGTATGATATATTGGATATTGGCCAAAGACGTTATCTGCCGTACGCTTTAATCAATCATCTATTGAATTTCGCCAGTAAAGATCGTATAACCAATACGCGCATTGATGTCGTATTAATTGCAACGATAAGAGACGTCGAGGCGGAAGAGATTCGTGTAACTCAAATTTTACGTCGTATTTGAGTTACAGATCTCGTTCCAGAGAAACGCAAGTACAATCAAAATAATTGAAATTCTCAAAATACATGTTAATCACTAACGCGTATAATTTACCTCTTCCCGGATCAAATATTCCTCGGTATCCAACAGCAATATTTTGCTCCGCGAGCGGTTCGTAGAGCAACAAAGTGTCCTACGCTCGTCTTAATCAAATTAAACGAAAACATCCGCAGCGTAACGAAAA